ACCAACCGTCACTAGTCATCAACCGCCACTAGTCACCAACCGTCACTAGTCATTAACCGTCACTAGTCACCAATCGTCACTAGTCACCAACCGTCACTAGTCACCAACCGTCACTAGTCACCAACCGTCACTAGTCATTAACCGCCACTACAAGAGCCATACCGGCTCTGACGTCCCCCGGGTTAACATGGTCCGTGTCAGTTGCTAGGGAACCAGGGCAACTTGATGGAAATGGGCTCCTGGAACAATATATATATATATATATATAAAAACACATAGTGAGCAATATGTGTATATTTGTGTATACTCGTATAAATGTGTTGTGTAAATAGTATTAGAAATCTAAATAAACAAATATAAAATATATATAAAACATTAATAAATAAAAATATATGAATGAATTTCATTTTATACACTCTTTTACAAACTGACAATAAAAGACGTTTAAGGCTGAGCTTTGCTGCATCCACCCTAAGATTATTTATTACTCTTATTATTACTCATTAAAGTATTAAAATATTTCTGATTCTAATTAACTCCACTAAGGAAAATTAAATAAAATGAACCATTTGTTTGTTTTTATGAAAAAAATATAAATGATTGTGAAAATTAGTTGAATATTCAGAAAGTTAAAGTTGATTAAAATTTATTCTGTTCCTGTTTAACACGTCACACTGGGGGAGCCGTTGACCTCCCCAAGATGGCGCCACCAATCACGTCAGCGACCATAGGAGAAAGCGATCGATGCGGGGTCTGCTGTGGCGGTACCGATGGATCCAGAACCGGAACCACCATAGTCTGGATCCACGGTGGTTTCGGTTCCCGGAGCCCCGGCCTCCTGCCCCCCGCAGCGGCCGCAGCCTCCGCCACTCACCGCTATGACGTTAACGAAGGTGGTCTTCCCGGAGTACTGCAGCCCCACCAGGGTCAGCTCCATCTCCTCCTTCCAGAACAGAGCCTTGAACCAGTCCAGCAGTTTGTTGATCAGCGCGATCATGTCTGCGCTGCGTCCGCTCCAGCTGCTCTGCTGCTCGGTTAGCTGCTAACTGACTGCCCGGCCCGAACCTCCGCGCTCTGCCGCTGAGAGCCAACAGACCGAACCAGACGGAACCAGCGATCCACGCCGCCTCTCGGCCGCAGCAGGCTCGGTTCTTCGGCTCCTCTCAAACCCTCACAGGGTTTTTTTCCTGCTGCTTCTGAGCTGCGCTGTTCGCTGCTAGCGCCGCCAAGACGGAAACAATTCACCCTGTCACTTCCGGCGGAGTCCTTCACAATAAAAGCTCCTGGAACCATAAATCAGGCAGAACTGACTTGTAAACACGATTCTCACACCAGAACGCGGGCGCGTGAACGACTGAATCAACCCATTAGATAATAATTAGGATTTTTATTCATACAATAATCACTATTTTGCCTGTTTTTATGCTTTCAAATTAAAGGTAAATAAATCTTGGAGAGCACTTCCGGCTTGGGTGGGGTTGGTGAAGAAGGCAGAGGAGAGCAGAACAAAGAGGAGGCAGCTCCAGCAAAAACACAGGAGGACCTTTCAAACACTGCCCTCTGTTGGTTCAGGCTCACCCTACATAGATCTGCTGATCTAGTTTAACATCAGTGACTGTTAGCAGCAGCTAATTGGATAACCCACCTCAGGTACCATCAGGTATGGAAGCCCAGAGCGGTCATGTCCCTACCATACTTTTTCACGGTGGTTTTGTTGAGAAACGGAGTTAATTTTCTCATTATCTAAAGATAAGGAAGCTGTTTTCTCGTGATAACGAGATGATTGGTGTGAAGTTATTACACTCTTCAACACCACAACAGCAGGTCAGGATTTATAAGTCATGGCAGCCCATATATATATATATATATATATATATATATATATATATATATATATATATATATATATGTATAATGATTGTGTGTTTAACTTTGAGGTTATGAGGCGACGTTGCTGGTTTGATCATTTGCTTCTGATTCATCAGCATTTAGACCAAAACCTCCAGGTGTTTTCTGATCAGCTCCGGTGTTACGCCTGGTTTATGCTCAGAAACCAGGTCGTCTGTGTGTGCTGCAGTTAACGCAGATATGCCCCGCCCCCTTCCGCAGACACTCTGCTGCACCTCTCCAATATTGTAGGTGAGCGCAGACAGGAGGCCTCTGATTGGTCAGTTCTCCATTTGCTCTGCTCTGTGCGTATTTCCTGTTTGGTACCTAATGGCAGAAACTCTAGCTGTAGCTCCGCCCACAGCGCCTGGCACACTTCGGGCTCTATCCCAGACACCGTCAAACCGACACATGGACGCCCGCAATCCTAGCTAGTTCCTGATTGTCCCTCTGCCGTTGTGGCGTGGAATAACATAGAGCAGACCACGCTTCAATATAAATAAAAAATATCTGCATCATACCTGCGACAAGCTAACAGGGACACACTGCTGAGGGAGGATAACCAGCCCTGGTGTTACACCTGTAACAGGTATAAGATGCATTAACCCCCAACATGAGTCCAGATTAAAGAGTTTCATTAAAACAGTCAGATTTTTCCTGTGCTTGTATCTATGTGCATGGGTGTGTGTGTCCAAAATAATAATAATTTAGATCTACCGTGCAACGGTAACCGAGGCTGGTCATATGATCAACACAACATGCCCCCCCTCACCCTACCCTTACTGCGCTGCTGCTAATAGTGAAGCGCTTCTGCAGAATCTCTACGATTCCTGATTTCAGAAAAAGTAAACATCTGGTCCGGTAACTGGGTTCTGCAGCGGCGTTAGTTTGTGCTCAGTGTATTGCTGCAAGATGAGTAAACTGACCAAGTAAAGTGAGCAATGAGAAACCTCTCGCTGTCCATTCGCACACGCCGACCTCTCAGAAGTCATAGCCGCTTGTTAGCGGCGCAAAAAGTGGCTATTCTCTGTAGAACGGCGGCCTGACCGAACCGGAGGGGAAGGGGGGGGGGGGGGGCAGAAGCAATCGCGGTAAAATCGTTTATATTACAGTTGTTGCTTCCCTGCCGCTAGTTGGTTGACTGCACATGCAAAGCGTTTTATAAGGAAGAAGTACGTCAGGTTTTTACTGTCTGTCTGTCATTACAGAGATATGATGTGTTTTCTTACTGTCGAGCTGATTTGTCCTATTTTATTTCCCTAAAACTGTTCATTATGCATATTCACATCATTTATGACCGTTGCAGTATAAACAAACGATAATGGTAGAATCTGAGTATTGATTTTCTAAATCTCTCATTTATTTACACAAAAATCAAAGAGGCCCATAGATGCTAATAAGCACACAGATCATATAGCTTTGATGTCATCCCCAAAATCAATCGTCAAACTAAATAAAAGCATTTAAATAATAAAACATAAAATATTTGAAAAAGTGAATATTTATTCAATAAATATTGTTTCAATGATATATTACTCTATATCATTTTATAAATTTTTACTTTATAGCACTAGAAATAATAAAGGGCAAATTATTAATGGGTTTAATTTGTGGTGCATTTATGAAAATGTATGAAATGTAAGTTTGTGTTTGATGTGATCAGAATGTAGTTTAAGGATCATGTTTCATTTAGCAGAGACGCCTCATAAGGGGAGGAGCTAAAGAACAAAACAAAGGAGCCGAGTGCGTCATATTTGATAAATGTGTTTTGGAGACTTCTGCATCATTGTGATGGTTTTTGTTCTGAATAAAACATCCAGACATGTAGTGAACAGAAGACAAGTAAAAGGTGATACAGAAATGCTTAATGTATCAAATAAATGATCTAATTTAATTTGTTTCAGAAAGTTAATTGACATTCTAATTTTGAAAAATGTGAATTTTCTGTCAATTATTTCATGGTTCAGGCTTTAAAGGGTTAAGAGCACAACTCAGGCAGAGTGGTTTGTAACCATCACTGGCGTTTTCCAGCAGTGCGGCAGGTCAGTCACAGTGAGCGTTAAGGTTCAAAGGTCACCTGTGGAGTACCGCAGGGATCAGTGCTAGGACCAAATTCTAGGAACCACTAGTAAACCTGCAGATTGAGAGCGAAGTGCTCTGTTAGGAACATGAGGAACAATCAGATCTCTGATATCAGATGGAGCTTGGCCATTTAAGGCTTTATATGTGAGAAGGAGGATTTTAAATTCTATTCTTGATTTAACAGGAAGCCAATGAAGAGAAGCCAGGATAGGAGAGATATGATCTCTCTTTTTCATTTTCATCAGAACTCTGGCTGCAGCATTTTGGATCAGCTGAAGGCTTTTAACTACAGTTTGTGGACTTCCTGATAGTAAAGAATTACAATAGTCCAGCCTTGAAGTAACAAATGCATGGACTAGTTTCTCAGCATCACCCCTGGACAGGAGATTGCTCATTTTTGCAATGTTCCTCAGATGAAAGAAGGAAATTCTAGAAACCTCTTTGATCTGGGATTTAAATGACAGGTCCTGATCAAAAATAACACCAAGATTTTTTACTTTATTATCTGAAATCAGTTTAATCCCATCCAAATGAAGTGACTGACTAATCAGCTTCTTTTTCAGAGACTCTGGTCCAAAGACTATAACTTCTGTTTTATCTGCATTCAGAAGCAGAAAGTTAAGAGTCATCCAGGTTTTTCTGTCTTCAGACATGCCTGTAATCTATGTAATGGGTTAGCTTCATCTGGATTTATAGACAGATATAGCTGGGTATCATCAGCATAACAGTGGAAATTAATCCCATGCTGTCTAATAATTCTACCAATTGGGAGCATGTATAAAGTAAAGAGAATTGGTCCTAGCACTGATCCCTGTGGTACTCCACAGGTAACCTTTGAGCATGAGGAAGATCTATCATTAACATGAACAAACTGAAAGTCTCTCCTTCCTTCCTTCCTTCCTTCCTTCCTTCCTTCCTTCCTTCCTTCCTTCCTTCCTTCCTTCCTTCCTTCCTTCCTTCCTTCCTTCCTTCCTTCCTTCCTTCCTTCCTTCCTTCCTTCCTTCCTTCCTTCCTTCCTTCCAGGTGTGTTGTTAATAAATATTCAGCTGTTTTGAACAGTTTTTATTCATAGCAATCAAAGCACACAGATATTAACAGGAAGTTTCTTTAAAATCTACTAATCTGTTTTTTTTCTGATAATTTCAGTCCAGGTTGAATATCTTGTTATGATCCAAACATCCTGCTGGGGTGTTCTATCTGGTCTAGCTCTCTACCAATCCTTCCTGGAGGTTCTGCTGTTTTCTTTAAGCGCACAGCTGGTAGAGCAACTTCTAGATCCTTTTTCAGGCGGTCTGTAGCTGAAGGGTCTGCATTCGCATGCTGACCTGGTCCTCGGGGCTCTGCTGGTTCGGTGGGACTGTGGTGGTCTGGTTCTGGTTCTGATGGAAAGACAGCAAAGTTAAACATGCACTGTGCCACTGGAGGCAGTTTCTCAGGTCTGGGTTCAGGATCTAAAGCAGGTTGGTTCTGGTCCAGGAATGCCACTGTTGTTTATTCCTAGACTTTTTATGCGTTGATAGCAAATGAGAACCAGCTGATCTAATATGTCTCATTTCTTTCAACTCTTCTGTTGCTCGATGGGTCGTCAAATAGGAGGAGCTTTTATCTGCTGCCTGTTATCTGTTCATCTCAGCAAGAAGGACCTGGAATTTACTGAGCGAGTCACGGTGCTGTCATTAATGTGTACGACAGGGGTCATCAACGGGCCCCCGGGCACCAGGGGGCCCTCAAGGACCACATGCGGTGCCCTTGACGTCTTCTGAAAACAGAACAACTCACCAGTTTAACATTTAATTTTATTCTGTTGCTATTCTTTTTAATCATCCTTAGATCATTTTATCATATTTAGAGATTTCAAAATGACAATATTCAAAAGAAAATTAGAAGTTAAAAGTTAACAATAAAAATGAGTTTAATATCGAGGGAGTTTAGGTGAACACTGACCCCTCTGGTTCACAGCTCAGTATTGGTAGCCCTGCTATGACTCAGTAGCCATGAAGTGGCTATCAGCCTTAAAAAGGTCGGTGACTCCTGGTTTAGAGACAAACAAATGCTCTGCCGTTCCTAAGTCCACCAGATCCTCCAGAGACGCTCCCGATTCAGGAAGTCTGGGAGCTACAGCTGGATCATGGTGGCTCCCCATCGTTCTTCTGTATGATCAGGACCCTAAACTGCTCTACTGCTTCATGGACCAATCACCTGGGCAACAGAGGTGAGGTGGGAATAAGCTCCAGAGGACTCTCCAGGGAGAGCACCAGAGGTGGTGGGAGGCCTGGACCAGGTCTTGAGTTCAGGAAGGAAGAATTGGCAGTTCTTCTACAGGTTAGATTAAAACTACCTTCTCTGTCAATATTTACTATTTTGATTGATAAAAAGTTTTCTCTTATTCTGAATTGTAGTTTATGGCTTCAGCTCCTAGATCAACATGGAAATTATTTGCTATATTCACGCTCCGTGTCAAGAGACCATTTTTCCTTCTTCCTGATTCAGAACCAACCTTCGACCTTTTCAGAATCCATAGATTCCATTTGCCACCAATATAAAACTGCCTGAACACTGGTCGCAACTGAAACGTGTCCTTAAAGGGTGTTCTGGGCTCAGCCCAGTCTGGCCCGGCGGTGTAGAGTTCTGTACCTGGTTCTGCTGCAGCTGGAGGCTGTACTGGGCTAGTGTGGAGTACAGGAACTGGTACTGCTCAGTGGTCTGGATCATCCCCCCCCTGCACCATACAGTGGAGATGAAACACCACATTAAAAAACGTCATGATGTTTAACATATATGGCCTGAGGTTCTGTTCACATAATTTCTGGATAGCAAATAAATGAATTAATTAGAGAAAATCTGATGACGTCATAAATCCCATCAAGAAGTTCAAGTGGGCGGTTCACTGGAAGAGGAGAAGTATGGGTCTACGTAGCTGTAGGACATCGGGTCATGACTGCGTTTGCAGTGGAGTGGGTCGCGTTCAGCAGGTCCGCTTCTCGGCTTCCTGCGTTGGCCCTCAGGCCAGCATTGTTCATATAGGGGTCGATCTCACAGGACTCTAATTTGACTTCATTGCTTTAAGTATAACTGTTGATGACCTCCATTCATTTGATGATCTCAATGTGAGGCACAGGGACAGATGTGGGACCCTGAGTCCCCCAGGTCAGCCCACACACCCCCAGGATCCAAGGCCATCCAGTGGGACCCCACCCTCCAGGACATAGAGTAAGATCTTTAACATCCTGAAACATTGCAGGAGGTACGGGAATGGCCCAAAAAAAATAAATCACCTCCTGAATGTTGGAACATCTGTACAATAGCTGGTGCTAACTACCACGGACCACCCCTGAAGTATCCTGATGCCGTGTGGAGTTTTTGAGCCTAAAAGGGAGCAGGGGTGCGCTCCCTTTTAGGCAGAACATCTTGGACCTGTGGTGAAATTACTTCAGATTGAACCCCATGAAAAGCCGGTGGTCAGGTATTAACTCTGAATGGGTCACTATCGGCCCAGACTTTTCTTCACACGGTTCTGCACAGCAGGTCAGATGGAATTAAAGAGGAAACTGATGAGCACTGCACTCTGAGTGAACCTTTAACTTATTTGTTTGGTGGATTTGCTAAACAAACTTATGGAATGGGTTTCACTTACGCTAACCCAGCAGAAACTGGAACAGGAAATCCTCACCTGTCGAGTCGGAGCTGACAGACTGTCTCCAGGATGTCCACGTTTCCAGTTTCTCTAAGCTGCTGACAGCAGATACTGCTGGCTATGAAGCAGCCTGTCCTCCCGATACCTGCACTGTGGACACAACATGAGAGGAGGTCTGAGGGTTAGACAACTCAAACATAATTCACCTATGAGAGGCTTTGGGGTCTCCTTCTATCTGTAAAGATTTCAAGGATTCATCTTAAGACACAGGAACCAATCATGTCTCAGTACCAGGCAGCTGCAAACAAGGAGCCTGAACACTCATTTAGTAAGTGGTGCTCGGATGAGCTTGTGCTCTTCCACTTTATCCAAGATCGGGTTGTGAGGCAGAAGTCTCAGCAGAAATACCCAGACTTCCCTCTCCAGTGACTCCTGAGATGCATCCAGGCAAGCCGAGAGACATATTCCCTCCAGCGTGTCCTGGGTCTTCCCCTGAGCCTCCTACCAGTGGGACATGCCTGGAACGCCTCCTGAGGGAGGCATCCAGGACCCCAGGATACTTGAACTCCTCTGCCTGAGAAAAGAACTCTCCCTCCCTCAACCTGAAGGAAGTAAGCCAGTTCAACACCCGAACTGTGGACTCAGACTAGAAGCAGCTGATTCTCATTCTGACCGGCTCTAAACCGGCTTTGAACCTCCCCAGTGCATGCTGTAGGTCTTGGCAGGAGGGAGCCAGAGCCACATCATCTGTAAAAAGCAGGGATGAGTTCTGCCGGTCCATAAGTTAGAACCCCTCTGGTTCTTGGCTGCACCTAGAAAATCTGTCCATTAAGGTTCTGAACAGATTTGCTGGCAGAGGGCAGCCCTGATGGAGCCCAACTGGGAAAGTAATACCGGCAATGTAGACCAAACCTCTACTTGTACAAAGACCAGATGGCCCCTAGTGAAGGGCACATTATTAAAAACTGCCGGGTACCTCATGATGCCGCATCACAAGGTACTCAGCCAAATGCCATCTCCAGGTCAACAAACTTTTCGGGCAACCAGTCCACATGTAATGGTCCACATTTTTCAGGGAGAAGGTAGGGTTTGTAAAGTCCTGGGAGTGAGTAAGGGATGAACATTAATGAGATCAGCGGGTTGTGTGTGTCTGTTCATGTGTGGAAGATCTCTTTCTTGTTGTGAGTAATTTTTACACCGCTCTACAGCTTTATCTGTCCTCTGGGCAGCGGGCAGCTTTTCAGAGGCAGCAGTTCTGTTCTGACAGGATGTTGGTTTGAACAGACTCGCCACTCTGGTTTGAGACAGACCAGTTCCACTGCTCAGTAGCCTGACCTCAAAAAAAAAAAAACTACTACAACAAAATTTGAAAACTTTCTGATGAGTAAGTGATAACACCAGGAAGATCTTTGTTCATTAACTTGGACTGAAAATCTGACTTTCTTTGTTTCACCTGGTAACAAATAGTACTCTTTGTAAGTAAAGTACAACTTGTAAAGAGAACCAGGATCATTGGTGTCAGTGAACGGAGATGACTTGGCCTGGAGGAAAGCTGTCATAGTGGGTCATCTCTGATCTACATACTTCTTCTGTTTTTACTGCTCAAGAACAGCTATGTTTGTCAAGAGCAGCTCATTCAACATGGATTCAAGACAGTATTTGAATTGTGGAACGGTACGAGTGGAAGCGTGGTCAAGGTGAAGGAGATAAGGTCATCGAGGAGCCCTGAACCAAACCATGCTTGCAACAGTGTGGCTAAGCAGAAGAGGGTAGATAAGGTGACCTCAGAACATCCACTATTCTTATTGGACCTGCTAGGAAGGCTTGTTTGATCCAAAACAGAGTGTTTGCTGAGTCTGAATGAGGCCTGTTCATATTTACACCACAAGGAAACTGGACCAGGAAGTGGAATAAGAACATGGGAGTCATTCAAATTCTTAGTCCAGTTGTTTGGTAGGATCTGTGGAATAAGTTCTAGAAAACAGGAGACTTTGGCAGTTTTTTTTTAAACACCAACCTGCAGTGGACAATGATTGGTCCAGGACCAGAGATGGTGTTTGTGATTGGTGCAGGGCTGCTAGATGGTTCAAGGGACTTCTTGTATGTCTCAACCTCCTCCACGAGTTTCAGCAGAGAAACAATGCATTCTGGAATGTGGTGGTCGGGCCAGGAGCTGAACCAGTAGTGTCTGACAGGACGATGGTCAGAGTTCATCTGATGCACAAAGGAAACAGAATCAGAAGAAAAGAAAAAGACAGGTGGAGAACAACAGGGCTAAAATGTCCTCTCAGGATTGGAGGGCCGTCTCTGCATCAGCTGGTGGACGAATTCTGGACTTGTGTTCCAAGGGGATGGCTGGAGGGAGTGGGATACTCCCTCCAGCCTGCAGCTCTAGATTTACAGCTCTGTCTAGCTTCCAGCTCTCACCTACAGTCATGATATATGCATCAGGACCACAGCTGGCCTCATGATACCTGCTTGCTGCTTCAGGAGTCCCACAAGCCAGTCAGGCTCAAAATAGACTCCTTCAGCTTGACAGAATCTCTTACTGCCGGTGTCCATCACCAGGTTCAGGGATTGCTGCCACGACAGGAACCTCAGACTCACTCAGACTCCATGTCTCCAGCCTCCTGAGGAATCTGGGAGAAGCTCTCCTGGAGGTAGGGTTGAACACGCCCCTGACCAGACGTTCCCAGCAGACCCTCACTGCTCGCTTGGGCCCTCACCTGAGTGGACAAAGTCAGCCATTGACCTGCAGTGTCCTGGTGGCCGGTGGACATCCTTATGCTTGAACAGGGTGTTCATTATGAACAATCTGAGACTTGCGCAGAAAACCAATAATGAAACACCATTCAGGTTCAGAGCTGGGGGGCGGTTGCTTCTTAAAATCACACCGCTCCAGGTGTCATTGCCTTTTACCAAATGGGCTTTGATGTCCCCCAGGAAATGGTTGGACTCCCCAGGAGGAGCGTTATTCTACACCCCCTACCCCAAGGAAAATAAAGGGCTGGTACTCTGTACAACTGTTAGGCCAAAACAACAGTTAGAGACTTCCCCCCTACCCAAAGGTGAGGGGATGCAACTCTCTCATACCCTCAGGTAAACTCCAACATGAGACAACTGCGGTCCCCCCCCGCAGGCCGCTCCAGAGTAGAAGAGAGAATAGCATCTCTCAAGTAGCTGGGTTCCAGAGCCCAGCCAATGTGTGGAGGAGAGCCCAACTATTTGTAGCCAGTATCTTTGCACCACCAGCACAGCTCAGGCTCCTTCCCCCCAGCAGTGGATATTCCATGACCCTATAGCCAGTTCAAGTGCCCGCAGATCCGGTTGCAGAGGTTTCGGTCTCAGATACTGCCCAATCCTCTCTGCACTGGTCCTGCATGGCCCAACCTGGCTGGGTCCCATGAGGAAGAACCTGACCACTAGGCTCTCGCTGACATGCAGCCACCTGGGCGGTCGCCAAGGCAAATATTTGGGCCTGGGAGGAGTTTGGAGAGGCAATGGAGAAAACTTTTGGCTGGCCTCAGAGCGATTCTGGCAAACCGTCCGGCGCCTCCGTAGTGGGAAGCAGCTCACACTGTTGTCATTAGAAATGGAGAGATGATGGAGGGATGGCTACTTGTTTAGCATCTAACTAGGAATGCGTGCCGTAGAATGGACCTCCACTTTGCTTAAAAACATCAGAGCTCCAACTAGAGATTGCTCTGGTGAATAGAATTGAAAGAGACTCCTGCATCGGTAGAATAGAATTAACTTTACTGTCTTTACATCGTCATAAGCGCAGAGCAACTAAATTAACTCTGCATTTAACTCATCCCTTTGGGGAGCAGTAGGCTGCCATTGTGCGGTGCTCAGGAAGCAGTGTGGGATTAAACGTCTTGTTCAGGGACCCCATAGTGGCCGTCCGTTGGGGTGGGGCTCGAACTCAGAATTTCTGGGATCTGAGCACAATGCCCTAACTTCTAGGCCGCCCCTCCCCATACGTCGTAGGAGCAGCCATCCGAAGGATATTCTGGGTTAACCTCCTTCATGATCAACGTATCTCACCTGCCATGACCCAAATGACTGACAATTCACACAGGCATTTTAACTCACATGAAAAGTTGAAGTATAAAGGTTTCAGTAGAGCAACTAGTTTTTAATCCTCTGTTATGATTCTACATAAAAGTCTCCCAGCAGAGTCAGAGTCTGCTGATAGAAAATCTGCAAACAAAATCAGATGATGGAAGAAAAGAGGAATAAAGCTCAAACTAATCAGGACGTTTTTTTCTCAGTTCAAAATGTTCCAACAAACAGAATAAAACACACAGAAAAAAAGGACAGTTCATGAAACCGAGAGGATATTTGATGAAAATAATCCATCAATAAAAAGAATAAGTGATTGTTGATAAGAAGAAGAGACAACTAGAGACAGGTTCAATGGAAAGGATTATGTCAGACTGAAGCACTGACCTAAAGGTGAGCCAATGGTGACACCTAGAGGCTGTTTGAAGAAATACAGACAACTAAAGGTCTCAGAACCACAGCTGAAATGTTCATAGAGAGGCAGATGAAAACATCAGATGACGGCAGAAACATTCAGCTTTAAAAAACTTTGATTCAGCTGATTAATATCCAGCTGTCTGGGATGAATATCCTGAAATACCAGGGTTTGAAACCCACGCAAAACGTTTAAATATGGCTTTGACATTTGGGATCTTCAGGTGTTAAACCTTAAAACATGCAGGATCTGATGGTCATCAGTGAGAAATGAGGAAATAAAAGCTTTGTAAGGCTAAGAGGTTCACATAATTAGCCTAATGTGTTACGTTCTGTTGGCTCCAGACAGTCATTCTAGGTTCTAGCTCAATCTCCGTCCTCCATCTTAACGTTGCTTCAAAACAGTGAAAACCAGTATGGACTCTACAGCTAAAGAGGAAAGGTTGTCTGAATAGTGCTGTCAGTGAGGAAGGAGGGAGGAAGAGGAAGAAGGATGCCTGCTATCATAGTTCCTTTAGTATATAATACAGCATCCACCACATAGGACCTAAACTAGGAGCTAAGGATAGGAGCTAGCAGCTAGAGATTCCTAACTCAGTGATGGACTCACCTGGATCTCCATGTCTGTGATGGTGAAGCCGTCTTTTTCTTGGCAGTCTTTAACACTCAGCAGGAACCTGCCGAATCGACTTGTCTCTCCCTCGTCTTCACCTTCCTCCCTCTGAATCTCCTGCTCCTGGCTCTCATCCACTTCCCTCACCTTTGGTCTTTCCTTCAGCCGGGGCCAGTACGGCTCACATTTCTGAGTAGAGAGTTCAATTCTGACCAGAGATTCTCTGTGATCGGAGCAGGCAGCAGTTAGCAGCAGAGGGAAACAACCCCCCTTACCTCATTGTTCTCCTTCAGTTTGGTGACCATGACGATAATGCTGCTCCCCTCCTGCCAGACCATGTCCCAGAAGTCTCCGACGGTGTGCAGCATCGGCCCCTGGGTGGCGATAAAGGCCTTTGGAGCCCCCTTGTAGCCCTGCAGGTCATAAATGATCTCATCTTATGTCAGAGCTGGGGGGCCAGTTTCATTCAGGAAACACCTTTTAAAGTCACTTGTGAAGCTGCTGAGCCTCTGCAGGGGGCTCCTGTTCATCACTACCTATAGCATTACCATGTATTACAGCTGGTCCCAGTGGACGGGAGCCTGTGAGGGTCCACAGTCATGGCCAAAAGTTTTGAGAATGATTCAAATGTTAATATTTACAAAGTCTACTGCTTCAGTTTTTATTACGGCAATCTGCATAAACTCCAGAATGTTCTAAAGAGCGATCAGCGTAACAGCAATTAATTGCAAAGTCAATATTTGCCTAGAAAATGAACTTTATCCCCAAAACACATTTCATGGTGATTGCAGCCCTGCCTTAAAGGAGCAGCTACCATGGCTTCAGTGATTGGTCCATTAACAGGTGTGGGTGGTGATGAGGACAGCGCTGCAGATCAATCTGTCAGGATTCAGTCAGAATGACGCCACTGGACACTTTAAACAGAGGCTGCTGCTTGGCATCATTGCTTCTCTGCTGTGAACCATGGTTATCTCTAAAGAAACACCTGCAGCCATCATTGCACTGCACAAAGATGGCCGAACAGGAAAGAGAATGGCAGCTAGAGAGATTGCACCTCAGTCAGCAATCTATGGCATCATCAAGAACTTCAAGGAGAGAGGTTCCATTGCTGCCAAAAAGGCTCCATTGTTGCCAAGAAAGACCAGCGAGCGCCAGGACCGTCTCTGAAAAGTGTTTCAGCTGCGGGATGGGGCTACCAGCGGTGCAGAGCTTGCTCAGGAATGGCAGCAGGCAGGTGTGAGTGCATCTGCACTGTGAGGCAGAGACTCTTGAAGCAAGGCCTGGTCTCAAGGAGGGCAGCAAAGAAGCCACTTCTCTCCAGCAAAACCATCAGGGACAGACTGATATTCTGCTAAAGGTCCAGGGAGGGGACAGCTGAGGACTGGGGGAAAGTCATCTTCTCTCAGCAATCCCCTTTCTCATTGTTTGGGACATCTGGAAAACATCTGGTTGGGAGAAGACCAGGTGAGCGCTACCAGCAGTCTGGTCTCATGCCGACTGTAAAGCATCCTGAAACCATTCATGGTGGGGTTGCTTCTCAGCCAAGGGAGGCGGCTCTCTCACAGTCTGACCTAAAAACAGCCATGAATAAAGAACGGAACCAGAATGTCCTCCCAGAGCAACTTCTCCCAACCGTCCCAGAGCAACTTCTCCCAACCGTCCCAGAGCAGTTTGGTGATGAACGATGCCTTTTCCAGCATGATGGAGCACCTCGCCATAAAGCAAAGCTGATATCTAACTGGCTCAGGGAACAAAACAGAGAGATGTTGGGTCCATGGCCTGGAAACTCCCCTGATCTTAATCCCATTGAAAACTTGTGGTCAATCATCAAGAGATGGCGGACAAACAAAAACCTTCTGACTAAATGCAAGCATTGATTGTGCAGAATGGACGCTATCAGTCAGGATTTGGTCCAGAAGTTGATTGAGAGCAGCCAGGGAGAAATGTCCTGAAGAAGAGGAGTCACCACTGCAAATATTGATCTGCTGCATTAACTTATTCTGTCATTAAAAGCTTTGGTTGCTCAGAATATGATGCAATTGCATTTCTGTATGTGATGACAACATCTGACATGGAAACCAGAGGGCAGCAGATCATGTGAAAATATAATATTTGTGTCATTCTCAATACTTTCGGCCATGACTATAGAGTGAGAATGAAGAGCTCCCTGGGTTGATGGATCCAGGCCTTATTCATTATGTTCCACAGGTTTAGATCTTCCCATTGTGGAGTAAAAAATGTTGAGGTATGTCTGTTCTTAGCCTCACAGTCTCCAAACGGAGGTCATGAGAGATCAGAATAAGTCACAGCCTCCTTCATGGCATGAAGGGGAGGACTGCTGTTAGTAGGAGATCCATCTGACCAGTGAAAGATAGATTAACCTAACGGGGAACGGCCTTGATGAACTCAAGTTGTTTTTCCTCTAAATGTTCAAGTGTGAGAAAGTTCTTTATGCTGGAGGTGGGTTGGTTCCCCTGGGGGGGGAGTGTGTGTGTGTTGGGATTTTGTAAAGTACAAAAGTATTTACTGAGGTTGCCTCAAGCAGAGCTCTATCTCTCCATCTGAGGACGTTAGATACATTTTTTCTTGCAAGAAATGCCCCTGCCTCAGCTTCTTAACTCCACACTAGGAAGCTGCTGAAAGCTGCTTTGCCTTGAAACAGGAGTTGGTTTAAGCAGGTCAACCATCACTTAGACTGTGGTTTCATTACGACAGCAGCAGACCAGAAACTTTGCATGTTAAGATACGACTGTGAGCAATCCCATGAAACCAGGAAGTAGGGTTAGCCAACTGTGGTTGGAAAATTTAGATTTCTCTTGTCTGATATAGTTAGTTATGCTATTTATCCAGTGAAAACTGTTTTTACTCAAATTGTTTAACCTGCAAGGCTGAGAAAATGTCTGAGTGAGGTTTTAGACAGAACATGCTTATTCCAAAGACAAGCCAAATTCCTTCTCAAGATTTGTGCAATTTGTTTTGACTCTGACACAACCGTCACAGTTTTTTCCTCAACATAAGTATGGGAGAAAAACTCTGTCTAGTCAGAACAGGGCTGATTACCGTACGGGCTGCATGATGAGCTATTCTCTTTTTGCAAAGATAAGAAAATAAAGTGCCGACTAAGTGAAATCCATCGATCTCCGTTTATTTAACTGGGGTGAATAGTTGAATACTTTTTTCCCGCTACACCCACCTGAACCGAGGTCAGATATCTAACATCACCCTGACTCCTGCTGCAGACAGGATCTGCTGCTGGGTTTGGGATCCGGGGGTTCACCAGGGAAGCTTGGGATCCGGGGGTGCATCAGGGAAGCTTGGGATCCGGGGGTGCATCAGGGAAGCTTGGGATCCGGGGGTGCATCAGGGAAGCTTGGGATCCGGGGGTGCATCAGGGAAGCTTGGGATCCGGTGGTGCACCAGGGAAGCTTGGGATCCGGGGGTGCACCAGGGAAGCTTGGGATCCGGGGGTGCATCAGGGAAGCTTGGGATCCGGGGGTGCATCAGGGAAGCTTGGGATCCGGTGGTGCACCAGGGAAGCTTGGGATCCGGGGGTGCACCAGGGAAGCTTGGGATCCGGGGGTGCATCAGGGAAGCTTGGGATCCGGGGGTGAACCAGGGAAGCTTGGGATCCGGGGGTGCATCAGGGAAGCTTGGGATCCGGGGGTGAACCAGGGAAGCTTGGGATCCGGGGGTGCATCAGGGAAGCTTGGGATCCGGGGGTGCATCAGGGAAGCTTGGGATCCGGGGGTGAACCAGGGAAGCTTGGGATCCGGGGGTGCATCAGGGAAGCTTGGGATCCGGGGGTGCATCAGGGAAGCTTGGGATCCGGGGGTGCACCAGGGAAGCTTGGGATCCGGGGGTGCACCAGGGAAGCTTGGGATCCGGGTCTGCACCAGGGAAGCTTGGGATCCGGGGGTGCATCAGGGAAGCTTGGGATCCGGGGGTGCATCAGGGAAGCTTGGGATCCGGGGGTGCATCAGGGAAGCTTGGGATCCGGGGGTGCATCAGGGAAGCTTGGGATCCGGGGGTGCATCAGGGAAGCTTGGGATCCTGGGGGTGCATCAGGGAAGCTTGGGATCCTGGGGTGCATCAGGGAAGCTTGGGATCCGGGGGTGCATCAGGGAAGCTTGGGATCTGGGGGTGCATCAGGGAAGCTTGGGATCCTGGGGTGCATCAGGGAAGCTTGGGATCCGGTGGTGCACCAGGGAAGCTTGGGATCCGGGTCTGCACCAGGGAAGCTTGGGATCCGGGGGTGCATCAGGGAAGCTTGGGATCCGGGTCTGCACCAGGGAAGCTTGGGATCCGGGGGTGCATCAGGGAAGCTTGGGATCCGGGGGTGCATCAGGGAAGCTTGGGATCCTGGGGTGCATCAGGGAAGCTTGGGATCCGGGGGTGCACCAGGGAAGCTTGGGATCCGGGTCTGCACCAGGGAAGCTTGGGATCCGGGGGTGCATCAGGGAAGCTTGGGATCCGGGGGTGCATCAGGGAAGCTTGGGATCCTGGGGTGCACCAGGGAAGCTTGGGATCCGGTGGTGCACCAGGGAAGCTTGGGATCCGGGGGTGCATCAGGGAAGCTTGGGATCCGGGGGTGCATCAGGGAAGCTTGGGATCCGGGGGTGCACCAGGGAAGCTTGGGATCCGGGGGTGCACCAGGGAAGCTTTGGCTCTCAGGTCGACGGCCCACATTCAGCTCTGGACCAGCTGGGGTTGTTTTTCCTTCACATCACTGCTTCTTCAGTCTGAAGGACTCTGTTCCTGAACAGCTTGAGCTGGAGGCCATGTTGGATCCCTCAGTCCTTCCAAACACTCACTCAGGGTCATGAACTCTGACCTTGAAGCTGCTCAGACTGAGAGTGGGGGAGGGAGGATCAGATGACCTTAGTCTGCAAACAGAACTCAGATGTTTAGAGGCACGGTTGCTTCTCTAAGGGTATTACTGATGTCCTCGTCTGTTCCATGTGTCCTCAAACTGACCGTGAGCCGTTAATCTGCACCGGATGCTTCCAGCCTGTAGATGGACTTCAGTTTATTGCTAGTTGGGCTTTGATGGCAGCATTACTGATGAAGAATGAAGACAGTTCTGCTCATCCAAACAACCGCAGGTGTTGAGTCACAGCTGGGTCCATCAGAACAGGTGAGCTCAGAAACGGAGTGTCATAAAACACTAAACACACTCAGTCCTGATGCAGGAGAATGTGAGCCGTGTGTGTGGGCGGTTCGGGGGTGGGGGGTTGTGGGGGGGTAGTCAAGGACAAGTCACTTCCTCCCTCACTTCCTGTGGTTTTCCTGGTTAGACTCCCACGTTGACAAACTGACGGCTGGAGGTTTAGTTTGCTTCTGCTGAGCCACTGAACGGCCACACACACACACTTACACACACACACACACACACACACACACACACACACACACACACACACACACATACACACACATGGTTGTCTATAGAAACAGATAAACCAGATACGCCTACGCTGAGTGACACAGCTGTCACACTCTAGCAGCTTCCTTTGCTTTTAATAAAACCCAGAAGGCAACGTGTTTAACTGAAGCTAAAGCTAATTAAACACAGAAGTGAGACTTTATTAATGAAACCACAGATGTGTCGTCATCCTGAAGGTCAGGCTGACCCACCAGAACCAGACTGACCCACCAGAACCAGACTGACCCACCAGTACCAGACTGACCCACCAGAACCAGACTGACCCACCAGAACCTGCAGGGTTCAGACTGACCCACCAGAACCAGACTGACCCACCAGAACCTGCAGGGTTCAGACTGACCCACCAGAACCTGCAGGGTTCCAGTCTGACCCACCAGAACCTGCAGGGGTCAGACTGACCCACCAGAACCTGCAGGGTTCAGTCTGACCCACCAGAACCTGCAGGGTTCAGACTGACCCACCAGAACCTGCAGGGTTCAGTCTGACCCACCAGAACCTGCAGGGGTCAGTCTGACCCACCAGAACCTGCAGGGGTCAGACTGACCCACCAGAACCTGCAGGGTTCAGTGACAGACCTGCAGGGTTCAGACTGACCCACCAGAACCTGCAGGGGTCAGACTGACCCACCAGAACCTGCAGGGGTCAGACTGACCCACCAGAACCTGCAGGGGTCAGTCTGACCCACCAGAACCTGCAGGGGTCAGACTGACCCACCAGAACCTGCAGGGTTCAGTCTGACCCACCAGAACCTGCAGGGGTCAGACTGACCCACCAGAACCTGCAGGGGTCAGACTGACCCACCAGAACCTGCAGGGGTCAGACTGACCCACCAGAACCTGCAGGGTTCAGTCTGACCCACCAGAACCTGCAGGGGTCAGACTGACCCACCAGAACCTGCAGGGGTCAGTCTGACCCACCAGAACCTGCAGGGTTCAGTCTGACCCACCAGAACCTGCAGGGGTCAGACTGACCCACCAGAACCTGCAGGGTTCAGACTGACCCACCAGAACCTGCAGGGGTCAGACTGACCCACCAGAACCTGCAGGGTTCAGTCTGACCCACCAGAACCTGCAGGGTTCAGACTGACCCACCAGAACCTGCAGGGGTCAGTTTGACCCACCAGAACCTGCAGGGTTCAGTCTGACCCACCAGAACCTGCAGGGGTCAGACTGACCCACCAGAACCTGCAGGGGTCAGTTTGACCCACCAGAACCTGCAGGGTTCCAGGCTGTCCTTTCTGGTTCTCTAGGATTCCTCCTCAGCCTTCCACCCTGAGGATCATCAGGTTCTGCTGAGAAGACTGATGGATCAGGTAGGCCTGCCAGGGTCAGTTCTAAAGTGGTTCTCATATTGATCTTATTGTTACAGCAAACCAAATAAGGTCTGACTGCAGATTATCTGTGTGGAGTGCCTCTAGGTTCAGTTTATGGCTCTGTTTTATTTTGGTTGTATTTGATCCCTTTGGGAAAGGTCATCCAGCGGTTAAGTGATGTTTACTGTCACCTATTTGACATCCAGCTTTACTGTAATCTGAAAGCTAAATTCTTTGCTCCGTTGTCTCGTGGAAATGAAGCAATAGCTAAGTGAGAACTCTGTGCAGCTAAATGCAGACAAAATAGAAACACTGCTTGTTGCCCCTGATGACTCGATTCCAGGGAGTAAACAGCACTTGGGGGACCAGTCCGCTGAGCCCAGTCTAGGAACTAGGGAGAGATCTTTGACAAAGATACGTCATAGTGCTGTTCAAAGGGAGTTTTTCCTCTCCACTGTCGCTACAAGCATGCTTAGTGTGAGGGATTGCTGAAGAGTCAATGAGTCGATGCAATCAGCTGGTTTTCCTTAGATAGAAAACTTTGAATCAATCTGACTGGATGATCTGGTTGAACTGGAAAGTGACCTGAGATGACATGATGTGAATTGGAGCTATAGAAATACACTGAATAGAATAGAATTGGTCTTTATGCAGCTGAGAAGAAACTGCTTCTTTCAACTGAGGAGAATCTCTGAACTCAGGAATATTGTCTCGAGGAATGATCTGGAACTAATAATTGATGCTTTTGTTTCTTTGCGTTTAGAATATTTTAATAGTTTGGAGCTTTTTCGACTGTAATTAGTGCAAAACTCTGCAGCAGGAGTTCTGACCTGTACGAATAGCAGGACTCACATATTCCTGATCCTAGAAGAACCTCATTGGCTGCCAGGGTTTTATTGGATCACTTTTAAAGTTCTGGTCTTTCAGAGCCTTAAATGGTCTGGCTCCTTCTTCCGTCGGTGATCCAGCCTTACAGCCCGGCGCCGCTCTGATCTGTTGAAGGATCCTCGCTCTTGTTTTCCTACCAGAGGAGACGGTTCCTTTCAGGCTGTTGCTCCTGCTGGCTGTTGTTCCTTTCTAGAGCTAAATTAAGACCCATTTATTTGTGCAGGTTTTTAATTAACCACCTATTGGGCTTCTATGATTTCTTATTGTCTTGGTCTTTTTCTGTGTTTCTAAACGGTGTTGAGAAGCACTTTGTGGCTTTGGTCTGTCCTATATATAAATAAAGCTTACTTACTTTGAGTAAAGTTAACCTGCAAAGCAACTTATTGGACCTAAAGCTGCTGAGTTGATGAAAAAAGCAACGTATTTCTTTGGGTTTCAAACATCGTTTCCACTCAGAGGGAGAGCTGCTGTATTAACAATAAACCCTCTGATGGAGGAAACATTTTCACTTCTTATAGGAGTCAGTTTAACATCAACCAAAGCTGGTTTAAAAACGTCTGAAAGGGAAAAACGCCACAGAAGCTCCAAAGTCAAATCAAGTCAAAGTAAAGCCAAACGGTTCCTGCTTTTATTCTGAAGGATGTTTCTCCACGGAGGCTCCTTCCTGCCATTCCTGATCCGCCTCAGATTACAGCATGGAAACAAAGGGAAACTCTGACCCTGACATAGTTGGCGTTGATGTAGCGATCTGGACCCGGTTCCTCCTCCAGGTTCTTCAGGATCACCCGGCTCTCTGGGTCTGAGGAGCAAACAACAGATGGCAGCAGTGATTAAGGGAGGAGAACATGAGCGGAGCTTCTGCTGAGACTCTTACTGGGAAGGATGGTTTTGTATCGGTCTTTCATCACGTGTCCTGGAACGTCGAGCTCGGCGGCGCTCACAAAGTTGGGAGGAATCTTCTGTAGATGAAAGCAGACTGGATGCTAAAACACGCTGACATTGCCAACACCAATGGATCATAGGAAGATCTAAGAGCGGCCATTAACTTTTTGCCAGCACTACTGTGTAACATGTTTGTTTAGGGTTTGCCATATTCAGCTTCCCAGTGCTGATAGTTGTTGTTAAGGTCATTCCATACGCCTCGTTCCTTTGGGCCCACCGAGCAAAAACTGGTTGAAAAGACGAAAAGACTAAATGACGTCTAGATTTGGTTGAAATGGAAAGACGTTAAAAACCCAGTTTTAACGTCTTTTATTGGACTAAAGCGGGACTAAAGAGCAACCAAATTCTCAACAACTATTTGTGGAGTAAATCAAACTATGACAGACCGACCAGATTTAGACCAGATTTAGACCAGATTTAGACTAAAAACCGACGTCTGAATGACACCTGGTGTTTTCTTGACTCCACCCTTCCTGGTCCCAGTTCAGAAGATCACTGGTTCTAGTTGGAGACCCATCCTCCTTCAACTCATTATGTTTTTATCCCAGATGTTCACACTGACTCTGTGGAGAGCCGTCCTCCATCCTACGGCAGGCGGGGGATCAAGTCTACTTTTGATGAGTTGACCTCTAAGGACCCAAAGAGCCAGACAGGAAGTGGGACACAGCTGAGGTTAAGAGGATTTAAAAATAAAGCAGTCCAGATGCAGAAACAGATCTTTATGCGTTTAGTGTGGATTGGGATGGAGGCGCAGACAGTCAGTGTGAACCTGCTACGGTGGCCCTGAAGTGCAAACTGAGATCACTGATTGGACAAAGGCAATCAGGGCCGTTTGGCTTTTAGTCCTGAATTCATTCTGATTGTTGCGTTGTTTTTTTTAAACATGGCTGCTGCTATGAATGTGGCTTAAAGTGTTGATGACGCAATTTGGATTAAATGTAATTTACCATTAAAATCCTGCAGCAGGTAGTTCTGAGTTATTATTATTATTTTTAAATATCCTACATTCAGCTGCTCCACAGCAGCAGTCTGATTAACAGCTGGTAAAAACCCGTCTCCATGGTTACGTCAGAGGGAGAACACTGTTGGAGCTAGCTTAGCATGCTCTAATGGAGATGGATGGAACATCTGGTCTGGAACTGGTCTGTGTGGCTGAACCATCAACCAGTTGAAGCCCAGGAGAGGCGTAGTGATGCTGAGGGACATGGAGACATCACAGCTGCCAAGTCTGAACCGTCCAGGGTGGACCTCTAGCCTCCAGAGTCAGACCCTGATGGTGACGCTAAGACCCAGAAGCCTCAATAGAAAACAAACGGCGGGGAAACAAGCTGCTGGAGTCTCTGGAAAACTCAAGAGGATTTTTTCTCCAAACACAAAATCTAAGAACATTTCAAACCAAACCCTGAAACAGAGACTAGTTCATCCTGAAGATAAAACCCCCAGACCCAATATATGCAGTTCAATGCAGGGAGGAATGATCTGATCTTTAGAGAAACCAAACAACCTCTCCACAGACGCATGGCCCAACACAGGAGAGCGCCCTCCTCTGGACAAGACTCTGCTCTACATCTACACCTGATGGACAAAAGGACATTCTTTGGAGGACAGAATGTTCACATTATGGACAAAGAAGACAGGTGGTTTGAGAGGAAGGAAGCCATCTATGTTAAGAAAGGAAACCAACCTTAAACAGCCGGTGAACAATACCTGCTTTAACCACCGACCTTCAGAATCATAGACAGGTTTCAGGTATTACAGGCTAACAATGGAACCAAACGACCCACTCATCGGTTTCTATTTGCATGTTTCCAAGCAACACAAGGCCTCGTCTATAAAGACTCAAACTCACTGCGGATCCAGACATTTGAATTGAGAAAGCTTCCTGGAGGGGAAGCGAAACGTCTTCAAACCTGGGAAACCAAGTCCAGTGGATTGTTTCTAAACTTTTAAGGAATGACTACGACCTGGAAGACTGAGCATCTTCATCAGCTAAATAAAAGACGTCCTTCTCAAAATGTTCAAAGCACAGCAGAAATGTCGTAGATCCTCCAGCTTCTCTCCATGTCGTCTGACCTGCTTCACCAACTTTAAAGCAACTCAGGCTCCTTAGGAAACTTAAATCAGCGCCGTCGCCCTGATTCTGGCTGAATTTAAAAGCTGCGACCGAACCTGAAGGCAAAGCTGAATCTGAATGCATAAAACCTTCAGCAGCCGTCCAGAACTGGACCACTGATCCAGCTCTCAGTCGTTCTCCTGCATTCGCGTCGCGTTTTCTCCCTCCGTCACCGAGCGGCGCCACCGTCCTCTGAATGGCAGAGCTTTGTTTATTAAAAGCATTTTAAGCAGACACCTTTGAATTGATTACATTGATCATCAGCATTAATGTTCGGTCTACAAATGATACTAGAAAATATTAATATTGCACCATCAACACTTTAAGGACACGTTAGCCAAACACAGCTAACACTCTAATAATCGATGATTTTTGATGAATTATTGAGTTTGCGGCGAGAGATAAAAAGGGATATTTTCAGTTTCTTGTTATAATTTGACACAGAAAGTCTGACAAGATTTTAATTATCAGTGTGAAAGTTTTCTATCGTCTTTCTGGAGACTTTTTGGAAATGTTGCAAAGCTTCATTCCTCCTAACAATTTGGTGACAGCGGTGGGAATGTTTGCACCAGTAAAAGCTGTGATTTTCAAACAGAAGAAAACATTACTTCCTAAAACCAGCATAGATGTGTTGATGCTAATGCTACATTCAGACTGCAAGAGCTGGAAGCAGCAAATAAGCTTCTGCTGCTTCATTTCTGCTCCACATTAAGGTCAGACGTCCAGTAAAGTGAGTCCAGATGCTTCTGCTGCTCCTGTGTTCGATGCCAGAGAGCAGCTTTGCTATATTAGCTGTGATCAGCGGGTAGAAAGTAGTTAGAATCTATGTTGAAGTGAGAAAGTCCTCCTGAAAACATGGTCTGTGCAGTCAGTTCATCCAGATTACCATCCTGCCTTCAAAGATTATTTCTCTGTGGGAGCCGCTCAGACCCCCACATACCGGCGCTGCGCTGTCACTGGGAATCCCCAGCAGCAGCTGCCTCAGGCCCGCTCGCCTCTCCAGGGTTTTCCCCTCCTGTTGGTGGCGGCTGGAAGTAGATGTTAGCGTCTTTCAGGTCTGTGCTACAAACTGCAGGCAGCAGGATAATAAAAGCCAACATATTCTGCCGGCAGGTTTCTACATTTGAAGGCGTTAATAAACTGTTTCAGAGGAGTGATCATAGCGCTCTGCATCAGCAGTGCTGCGTCTGACTCCCTGCCAGCTCCCAGATTAGTTTCTCTCATTGGTTGATGTGTCCAGCAGCTAAAGGTCAATGTTTCCAACTCCATCAGCTGCTGATGGTGAAGTGCCTCAGATGCTCATGAGGCGCCGCTGCTCCTGCTGCTCTAAACGCTGCAGGACCTTTAGCCGCGCCTTGTTGCGCATTAATCATTGACTTTACATGTAAACCAGCTGCTTCTGCAGCTTCTGCTGCTTGCGGTCTGAACATAGCATCAGGAATATTTAGATTGGTGTGTTTCTTCAGGTTTTCTCATAAAGCACCGGACAGAGACGTACCTGGTATTCTGCATTCAGAGCGTTGGTGTCTGCTGCAGCTTCCTGTAACTGAGCATGTGTGAGAACTCGGGAGGAGGTGTGTAGCAGCTGAAGCCACACCTCCTTGGGCGTAGTCACAGAGCAAACAGACTCCACCCCCAGATTGCTCACATCCAATAGCAGCGACAAGTTGGAGCCCCTCCTTGTTGACATAGAGAAATAAAGAGATTTGGAAAAACGTAACAATTTCAAACATTTAAAACATAGAAAAAGTTTCTGGGAAAGAAAATCTGTCCTTTATTGAATTAATTAGAGTGTAGATCTGATGCATTTAGATCGAACCTTCTACTAACTTTCCTCATAAAGCATTAATAAATCATTTAAATATCTGCAGCGATTTATGGAAACAAGTTAGTCAATCATTAAATCAATCAAACTACTTTATTGTCAACTACAATTTACATTGCAATCAAAATTTCTGTTTCAGTACAACCGTCCATCACAATACGTCGTATACATTCAGGTGGGGGGGCTGGGAGGGGGGAACGGATGGACTGAGGCTATGCATGCCACAGAACGCCACATTCTTATGGCTCCCCGGGTCCCAGGCGGCTCCCTAATAGCGCCGCCTTTATCTCTATGGAAACATAGGAGCCACACGGGGGAAGAGACGAGACAAAAAGCACATTTCACACTTTCACTCTGCCCAAGAAAAGCACGTGTAACACGAGACAGACATTTCAGCAGAGGGTCACATCGGAGGCGGAGTCACATGGAGTCAATCTGACATATTGAGACATTAGTTGTGTGCTGATGAGTGCGTTCAATTCGTCCGTGAGCGCTGACCACAGACAATGACCTTGATAAGATGGAAGTTTACCAACAATCACTGAGCGCATCCACAGATGCTTTCATTGGTAGGGGAGGGGGGGGGCAGTTCTTCTTTGCCCTTTCGACCATAACATCCAGTGGAGGATTAGAAGAGGAGTGAATCCAGAATAACAGTTGTTGTTTTGAGAGCAGGCTGCACAGGAATTTCCGTCAGCCTTGTCTGTTCTTGCGGGCTCTTTCATGGTGAGAATAAGGCCCCGCCCACACGAAGTCAAAACGAACACGAAACGCTAATATTTTCCAGAACGTTTGTCGTAAAGACGGACACGTAAAATAAATGTGATCGTCCACACGAATGCATGAAAACGCTGCAAAATGTATGCCAGGCCTGTAAGTGGCGCTGTGGTGCCAAAGCAAAAATAGGCGACAAAATGTTGGGCATGCGCAGTAATATTTATACATGGTTGCCCTGCGGGTCCATTTTGGTGGTTCAGTCAAATTCAGGTGCTGAACTATGTGGTCGATATTGCTCTGTTCTTCCTGGAGATATTCCAGAAGAAGAAGATTCTGTTGTAAGCCCGACAGCAGGGTGAGTAGCATGAGCAGCAACCATTCAACACAGTACGGCGCCATTGTTGTTGTGATACTGTGTCGCGCATGCGTGTTTAGAGGCGACGCTATGACGCATGCGTGTTTAGAGGCGACGCTATGACGCATGCGTGTTTAGAGGCGACGCTATGACGCATGCGTGTTTAGAGGCGACGCTATGACGCATGCGTGTTTAGAGGCGACGCTATGACGCATGCGTGTTTAGAGGCGACGCTATGACGCATGCGTGTTTAGAGGCGACGCTATGACGCATGCGTGTTTAGAGGCGACGCTATGACGCATGCGTGTTTAGAGGCGACGCTATGACGCATGCGTGTAAGAAATAAAATGCGGTTAGAGCTTAAAGATGGAAACGCGAAAACGGCGTTTCAGAATCTTCCCACTCTGAAGGCTGAATAAAAAAAAGATAGTTTACAGACCCCCGAAACGCCGGCTTCGTGTGGATGAGAGGCTGGTTTGGTGAAAAATTAGTGAATTTAGGCCAGGGTTTGGCTTTGTGAAGACGGGGCCTTATATTCCAGATGTGTTTGGCGTTTCCGCCTTGAAGCGAGCGTGCTCATCCAAGATATTATCCCATCTCACCTTTGAGTTCAACCACCGCAGCCAGCCTGGGTTCAATCGCACCCAGCATAGGGCTCAGCTCCCGGTCCTGCTCGTTCACAGCCTTCGTGAGGGCGTCATCCGCTGCCGGCGGCCTGATTGACGCCCAAATTGCCGCCGACATCCTCTGTAATTGTAGATACATCAGGTATCCTCCAAATCCAAACAGGAGAAATCAGAGTATCATAAAACCAAAAATCCACACATCTTCGATATCCTCCAGTGGCAGCATTGTGAAACACTCCATCCTCCAAGCCTTCCAGGAATCCATGGTGTTTCCCACAGGATGGGTCCCTTTTCCCTGTCTGCCAGCTGAATAAACCTGATCAATTGCAGTGAGAGGTCAGCTGACCACATCCATTTTTTTTGGTTTGGGTGAAATGAAGAGAAGCTCAGAAAAGACAAGACACAGCAAAGCAGGGACAGGCAGGGGGGGGGGGGGGGGGGGGGGGGGGCAGCAGGAAAGACCGCCTCCTTTAAGAGTCAGAACAGCAGGTTAGCTGCTACTGGATTGAATTTATAGAGTAATGAGGACCCAGCCGGTGCCTGGGGGGTCATGACCTCAGGGGGAACCCCAGTCTGAGTTTAAACCCTGTTTCCCATAAACAGATAACCTGCTTTTAACTGCAACAAATACATCCAATAAATTCAATGTAATTTAAGGACATTCAGCATAAACTGAAAATATGTTCATTTTCTTCTAAATATAAATTTTAATTGACATTTAAATTTTCAGTGAGTTTCTAAATTGCAAGAACAGATTCCAGTTTGGTTGCTTCCCAATATGAGCTCCAGTTGTTTTATAGCGTCCTAAATTTAAACTGGATTCTTTAAACGACATTCCATCCTGTAAAATAAACTTTAATTATTATTTATTATGTACATTCCTGCTGGTTCAGACTAATCAGATCAATATATTATTTTTCTACATCTGTCTACTGTATATCTATACTGCTCAGATATCTATAGTTAAATCATGTTGTTCATAATGTAAATTCTCCTTAACTCTTGCATTGCTGTTCCCTGGTTGGTTCCTACCTTTCCTGGAGGCGGACCGAAGGCTTGCGAGGGGGTGTGGTCAGTGGCGGCGGCGTCACCGGCTCCTCAGCTGGTCCAGAGCTGGATGAGCTCATGATGTTTGTTTCCAGGCGTTTCTCTGGGCTGGACTCACCGTCTCACCTCCTCACCATGCTGCAGAGAAAGCAGAGCTTTGGTCGCTGCTCTCCATTATGCTGATGGAAGCAGGAGGCGCTGCGAGGAGCAGCAGTGACTCCTGCTTATATCACAGACCTGAAGCTCCTCCTTTACCGTCAGCAGAACTGACCTGAGGGAGACGTTCTGGCTCAGCTGCTAGCATCTGATTTTTCCTCATTTAATTGTATTTCTGTTGTTTTTATTGTTTAATTCTCACTCTGCAATAAAACTAACGGCTCCATTGCTGCTTGGAGCATCGTCGCTCACTGGGTGTGAAAACTTTAGATCGCTTCTTCATAATGATGCAGCAGATAAAGGGAGAAACATGGTGGACGGCATCCAAGCTGCAGCAGGTTGCTGAAATTAATCGTTTTGTTTTGTTTTTTTGAAACCGGAGTTAATGTTTAATTTTTCAGCGCTAAAATCATTTTACGGTATAAAAAAGGAACAGAAGATAAAATAAAGATTTTTTTCCAAGTATCCTTCAGACACCTGCTGCACATCAGGACGTAAAAAACCCCCCCTAATGAAAACCAATAGAAAAAAAAAGGAAAATTAAAAATTGAAAAAAATGGGGTTGCAGGGAACCTGACTGTAAGATTACCCCCGAGCGAACCCCCCAGAGTTTTCTAATCCGCCGGGCACAAAAGACAAAAGGTTGGAAACCAAAAAAAGGGGAGGGCAAACCCACGCCGGGTTTGGGGCCCAATTTTGGACCTGGTGGAGGGCTTGGAAAAAATTTAAGCTTCCAAAAAGACCCGGCCCCCCCCAAACTTCTCAAAAAGGGGGTGGCCCCGATTAAAATTTCAAACTTCTCCAAAATTTTTCCCCCTGGAAAAGGCTGTTGGAAAATTTCCCGTCCACTTTTGGGAAAAAAACCCGGTTTCCCCCACTGGGATTTTTAGAACCTTCCTTTCCAACCTGGTTTGGACCAGGTTTTTCCCCCCCTTCCACGTGGAAAAAAACATTTCCTTTCCAAAAAAAAATTTTTTGGGAACCCGAATTTCCTTTTACTGGGAACCCCACCCTTTTCCCCCCCACTGTTACCACATTCCTCCAAAACCCGTGGAAAACCAGACTTTTTCTCCATGTGGACCCCATTTTTTCCACGTACAACCCCACACGGGAAACCACATTTCCTCCACCAAAACCACATTTCCCCCACTTTAAAAACCAAGAAACTTCCTTCCCCCTTAAAACCAAAGGTTTTCCCCCCATGTGGGTCAGAGCTTATTAAGGGACCAGGTTTTCCCTCCCCTTTTGGACCAAAAAATTATCCCCTTCCTTCCCCTTGGAACGATTCCTTTCCCACTTGGAACAATTTCCCCACTGGGGTTAAAACCCCGGAACCCCCTTTTTCCCCCAATGTTTTTGGGCCACATTTCCCCACCCCTTTTGGGACCGCCCCCTCCCCCCTTGACCACATTTCCTTCCCACTTGGTTGGGACCAACCTCCCTCCAAAATTTTTGGACCCCCCTTTCCTCCAAGGGGGCCGGGTTTTCCCCCTTACCAAACATTTCCTTTTCCCCAGTACAGGGCTTTTCCACTGGTGGAAAAACTTTTTTCCGGTCTCCCCAACCCCCCATGTGGACCAACCCTCCACGTTGGGGCCCGGTTTTTTCCAAAGTTTAAAACCCCAATCCCTTTCCGTTGTGGACCCCCCCCCACCCCCCCTCCCCCCCCCCCCCCCCCCCCCCCCCTTAACAATTTTTCCCGTGTGGGACCAGAACTTTTCCCGTGGGGCCGTTTCCTCCCCCCTGTGAACCACTTTCCTTTTCCCCAATGGAATTTGATTTTTATTTTTGGCTTCCCCTTCCCCACTTGGAACCACATATCCTTCCAATGTGGGAAAATTTCCCCACTGTGGAGAAAAAAACCCCGACTTTTCCAACTTGGGGGGACCAACAAAATTCCTCCATGTGGAAAACCACATTTCCTTCCCCTTTTTGGGAAGAATAAAAATCCCTGGGTCCCTTTTCCCCCCTGTGGCCCACATTTTCCCTTTAATTTTATCCAAGGTTTCCTCCCAAAATGATTGGCCAAAGGGTTTTTCACATGTATCCCCAACAATCCTCCGGTTTTGGGGGGACCAAAAATTTTCCTCCCCTTTGGGGGGGGGACCACATTCCCCCAATTGGGGGATCAATTTCCTTCCCCTTGGACCCCAACCCTCCATTTGGTTGGGAACTTTTCCTTCCCACTGTTTTTCCATATTTTTATTTGGTTGGACCAAACTTTCCTTAATTTGGGACCACATTTTCCCTTCCCCCACTGGGGGGAAAAGTTTCCTTTTTTTGGACCACACCTCCCTGGGGGGGGGATAAGAAAAATTTTCCCCCACTTTACCACCTTTCCTCCCTTTGGGACCAACAATTTCCCCGGGGGGGTTTTTGGAAAAAACCAAAAAATTTCCACAGTAAGGTTTCTTCCAAAAAATGGGACCACATTTCCGGGGCCCCGGGGGGGATCGGGGGCTGGGGTTCCCTCCATTGTGGAAACCAAAGTTTTCCACTGGGAAAAATTTTTCCACTGGGACTCCAAATTACCCCACTTGGACCAGGGTTTCCCCCATGGGTGGGAAAAAAAACATTTCCCCACGTGGGGCCCGGACCCCCACGGGGGGACGGGGGGGGTTTCCTTCCGCTTGGTGGGAAAAAGGGCAATTCCCCAAATGGGGGACCAATTTTTCCATGGGATAAAAAAAATTTCCCTAAATGGGGATCAAAAACATCCTCCATTTTTTGGAAAACCGACCACAAATTTTCCCCCCACTGGGGGGCCAAGGTTTCCTTTTTTTTCTTTTACCAAAAAATTTTTTCCTCCAAAATTTTTGGGCCCCATTTTAAATGTTTAAAAGAATTTCCCCCACCGGTCGGGCCAAAAAAAAATTTTTCCCCAAAAAGGTTTGGGGAAAAATTTTTTTTTTAAAAAAAAAAAAAAGTGGACCAGGTTTCCCCCCACTGTGGGCCCCTTTTTCCACTGTGAACCATATCCCTCCCTTGTGGAAATTTCCAGGGCCCTTTTCCCCCACTGTGGACCACATTTCCCCCCCCACTGTGGAACCCCGATTTCCCCCCCACTTTGGACCCCAATTTCCCCCCTGTGGACCAGACCCCCCTTTCCCCCCCACTGTGGACCCGGTTTTTCCCCCTTTGGGCCACATTTTTTTCCCCCACTGTGGGATCAACTTTCCCCCCAAAGGTGGGCCACATTTTTCCCCCCTGTGGACCCAGGTTTTCCCCCCTGTGGACCAGGTTTCCTTTCCCCTGTGGACCACATTTCCCCCCACTGTGGACCCAAATTCCTCCCCCGTGGAAACCCCTTTTCCCTTCCCTTTTTCCCCTGTGGGGCCACATTTCCCCCACGTGGAGCAGGCCTTTTCCCCCACGTGGACCCATTTTCCCGGGCCTTTCCCCCTGTGGACCAAAGGGTTTTTTCCCTGTGGACCAAAAATTTTTCCCCCTCCACCCCCGTGGACCACAAATTTCCTCCCTGTGGACCCAAAACCCCTTTCCCCCACCGTGGGGAAAAATTTCAATCCCACTTTGGAACCCCACCCTTTTCCTCCACTGTGGACCACATTTCCCCCCACTTGGGCCCCCCACCCTTTCCTTCCCCTGTTGGGCCAAAATTTCCTCCACTGTGGGGCCCGGTTTCCCGTCCCCCTCCACTGTGGACCCCAAAATTTTCTTCCCCCCTGTGGGACCCCCCATTAACCTCCCCTGTGGACCACATTTCCTCCACTGTGGAACCCGTTTTCCCCCCCCCTGTGGGGGCCAAAATTTCCCCCCACTGTGGAAACCCCCGGGTAATTTCCCCACTGTGGAAACCCCATTTCCCCCACTGGGACCAGGTTTCCTCCACCCCCGGACCACATTTCCCCCCACTGTGGACCAATTTCCTCCCGTGGGCCCCCTTTTCCTCCCTTTTGGGCCAATTACCCCGGGGCCCTTTTTCCCCCTGTGGACAAACCCTTTCCCCCACCGTGGACCACATTTTTCTTCCCCCCCGGGAAATTTTTGTTGGGATTTCCCCCGGGCCCCTTTTTTCCCCCACGGGGGACCAATTTCCTCCACTGGGGACCCCCCATTTTCCTCCACTGTGGGCCAGGTTTCCTCCTCTGTGGACCAATTTTTCCCCCCACTGTGACCAATTTTTTTCCCTTTTCCTCTGGGGGGACCAATTTCCTCCACTGTTGGGCCCCAAATTTTCCCCCCTGTGGACCAAAAATTTTCCCCCACGTGGACCAGGTTTCCTCCTCTGGGGAAACCCCCCCGGTTTTTTCCCCTGTGGACCACAATTTTTCCCCCCACTGGTTTGGGCCACTTTTTCCCCCACTGGGACCAGACTTTTCCCCCTTTCCTTTCCCCTGGGACCACATTTCCTCCAATGGGGGGACCCCCATTTCCTCCACTGTGGAACCCAAAATTTCCCTCCCACTGTGGACCAGGTTTTCCCCACTGTGGACCAGGTTTCCTCCACTGTGGACCACAATTTTTTCCCCCACTGGGACCACATTTCCCCCCACCCCTGGGCCACATTTTTCCCCCCACCAACCCCGTGGACCCATTTCCTCCACCGTGGACCAACCCCCTTTAAAATTTTCCCCCCGTGGAATTTCCCCGGGGCCCTTTTTCCCCCACTGTGGACCAGTTTTTTTTTTTCCTTTTTTTCCTTCCCCGTGGGAAAACCCCCCGGGTTTTCCTCCACTGTGGGGCCAAAATTTCCTCCCCGTGGAAAACCCCCGAATTTAATCCTCCACTGTTGGGCCAGGTTTTTTTCCACTGTGGAAACCCCATTTCCTCCCAAAAATTTTTGGGCCACATTTTCCCCCACTGTTGGGCCACCCCCCTTCCGCCCCCACGTGGACCAGAATTTCCCCCTTGGGGACCAATTTCCCCACTGTGGAACCCCCAAAAGGGGTTTTTCCCCACTTGGACCACAATTTTTCCCTTTTTCCCCCACCGTGGACCACATTTTCCCCTTCCCACCCCCC